TGAAGTGTAAGGGATTCCCACTGGGGTCCTACAGTTAATTGTCTCTGGGTCTCCCAGTCCCAGTTTTGAACTCTTGCAGGACACTCATCTTTTTGTTTATCTATGTGTCCATAAAACAGCACCAGGCATATAGCAGGCACACAATAAATAAATAGAAGGTGTAAGTATGTAAGCTAACCACTAGGGATTCAATGGTTAGCAGAAACAGACATAGTATTAATCTTAATGAAGTATACAGTTTTGTGGAGAAAGAAAAGACATTAATGAAATAATCAGACAAGTGTATAGAGAATTACAAATGGCAAAATGTGCTTCCAAGTTAACACAGCACAATGTAATGTATCCTAAGAGAATCTGAGGCCTTGTCTGAGGGAGAAAAGAGATCACTGAGAAGTGATGCTCAAGACAGAACAGTGGGACTTATCAATCTAACTCGGGAACTGCTTCACTTCTGACATATTGCATGATATATAATGAATAAATTATAAACTACTATAATTACCTTTTTTTCTACTTGCAATTAAAAGTAACACTAACTATATAGCAGTTTCTAAATACAGTGATAGAAGAGAATTATATAAAATCATATAAATGCTTTATATTATCAGTTTCTTTCCCTTTACAAATGTAAGATGATCCATACTATCACCAACTAAACAAGGGCTAGGAAATGGATTTTGGACTAGTGTTTTGACACAGTCTAGTAATTATTGTGCATGCACGTGTGTGTGTGTGTGTGTGTGTGTGTGTGTACAGCTTTCTCCTTGCTTCTTTTGAATTCTTTGTTCTAGAGAAGAGGTACAGCAAGGCTACCCTGAAGTGGTTTGATTGATGTCATTCCTTCACTGGTGGCATCAACAAGGGCACAGTCACTATCCACATGGACAACGACATAAAACATGCCACAGGACAGCCTACAAATGGAGAGTCATTGGTTTGGGTTCAAATCTGTGCTGAATGGATTTTAGAGTTCTTCAAGAAAGGGACAGAAATGAGGTCATGAGGCCCAGCGGTCTAGCAACCTATAAATGGTCACAAAGTCAGTGGAAGATCACACTTCAAGCCCAAGGAAACTGGTCCTAGTCCAGAACGCACGGCCTAGGGAACAAGAAGCACATGCCAGCTTTGGAGTAAAGATGGACCAGGGTTTGATTTCAGTCTCACATACAGACTGCATGACCTTTAGCCAACAACCTCATCTCTCTAAAGTTTAGTTTCCTCCTTTTGACATTAAGGAATAATAATACTTATCCTACAAACATGTTGGGATAAATGAGATATTCCAGATAAAGTAAAAAATTTCTCATAAATAAATATTAGATATTTCCATGTATAAACTTTTCAGGTCTGTTTTTGTTAAGAGGAAGCAAAAAACTAAGAAATAATTTCATAATAGAAAGCGTAATTAAGGAGAGACGAACCAGAAGTAGAAAGAATTAAGATGTGTTATATACATGTATCAACTCCCACAATGAATATAATCATTATGTACTACAAATGTATTAATAAAAATTAAAAAGGAAAAACATAATTAGCAAAGTCATGGATTAATGGATGTGATATTTCAAATGAATAGATTGTCAAAGACAATTAGTAAAGGAAAACTGTGCTTGCATTTTATAGTTATGTTTACATTTCCTAAGCTTGGTATTTGATGTCTGAGCCAGTTTTGTTTGCCTTCTAGTTTTTCTTTACAGGTTGCATTTATACTATACAAATAGCTTTCCTCGGCCCCCATAGGATATATTAAGCTTCTTCTTCAAAGAGTTGTATAGTATTACTACTAGAAAATAAGATAAAAAAGCTTGAAATAGGGTGGGAGAGATGGAAAGAGGGAAAATTCATCTGTCTACCTATTTTATGGGTATCTTTTCCAAAGAAACAAAAGTTATAAAGTAATTTTCCTTCTTCTTTTTGGTTAGGTCTCTGCATTATAATGATGGGTTGTCTGTAGCTTTGTAGTTTCCAAGTATGGGAGAATAGTGAAAGCTTTTCAAGAACTACTTAGAGCTGTGGATTAATCAGCTTTTGCATCTTTGGAACAAAACCCCAACACCCACAATTCAAAGGAGGAGAGGTTTGATTTAATTTGGCTCATGGTTTTAGAGGTTTAGTCCATGGTTAGTTGGCTCCAACATGGAAGGGTATGGTGGAGAAAGGCTTCTCACTTTATGGTGGCTAGGAATGGCACCACAGAGGAAGGGGCCAGGGACCAGATATAGTACCCAAGGTCACACCTCCCTGACTAAAACAGACATATCCAGATATGTGCCTTACTAAATTCCAATGGAGCTCGTAATTCAATTAAATTGACAATCCACTTTAAATGTCACAAGCTATAGCTAGTAATATCTGGTTAAAGACCAAATGTAAAGATAGTAAAGATTATTTTCAGAATACTAATAATGAACCTAAAGAAACGTCCAGAAAATATTTTACAAAGAAAATCAAGCAGGGCCGGGGATTTAGCTCATTGGTTTCGCCGCCTGCTGCGCAAGCGCAAGGACCCGAGTTCGATCCCTGGTACCAAAAAAAAAAAATCAAGCAAAACCTGTTCTGTGTTGGAGGTGACTAGTAAATCAATCATTTCTGCATACCTGAAGTCCAGTTAGATTTGCCAAATAGAGGAACAAATAAGACTTATGCAAGAAGTGAAAAACAGAGAAATAACCTTTGTTAAATGCTGACCATGGATCCAGCACTATACTAGATGCTTTTTACATGTGAAACCTTCAACTTTTGAAAGATCCTGTGAAGTCAGAATTATCTATCTCATTTTCCAAACAAGGAAATAGCCTTAGAGAACTTAAGTTTTAACTTTCTAAGACCATGCAATGAATTACAGCAGAGCTGATTGGAGTCTGGTACTCTAATAAGGATAATAAAGATTAAAATTAAAGATTACATACTTTCATTTCTAAAGGTGATAATATAGGATGAAGTTCATTAGCATTTTCTTCTCTCTCTTAACAACATATAATATAAATGAAAATATACCTAACGACCTTGGCTGGCCAAATGCCACCCATCAGGTTTAATTTAAACATGGGTATTCATGCAATCCATTTAACTTTAAGAGTTGCTGGGTAGGGGCTGGGTAGGGAGTGCAACTTAGTGGCAGAGTATTACTACTAAGCTTACACACCATATGCAAGGCCCTGGGTTCTAGCCCCAGCAGTACAAAAGAAGTTGCATAGCTCTGCAGGATCACATGCTCTGAACCACCTTGTTGATGATAACACCTCCATCACAGCTGAATAAGCAACTGCTCCTGGACCCATTGGCATATGCAAGTGGGTTGGAGAAGCCCGGCTTTTCTTTCCTCCTCTGGTGCAAGCAAATCCTTCCTGCCATCTCCCAGAGAATACTGATAAGATATGACTGGGTGGGAAAGAACGGAATTGTTCCTATGGTACTCCTTGAAGAAGGTCAAGGCTAGGTTGGCATTGTCCTCAATAAGAGTTATTGTGATCATGGTCCAAAGTCCTGCAGGAATTTTTTTTTTAATTTGTTTGCTTTTATTTATTTTATTTATTTTTTTTTTTTTGATGCTAGATACCTGGAACACCAAGGACAGTTCTGTGCCAAGCCGCAAGAAGACTGAAAGTCCCGGACTTCCCCTGAGGCACCAGCTTCCTTTTGAATTTGGGGCAAAAGGAAAATCTTCCCAAGGGTATAAATTTTGAGAACTTCCTTCTGGTTCACATTTCAGACAAAGGTGTACTCAATCAGCACCCTGACACCAATGGTCTGAGTGAACAGGCAGAGCTCAGGAATCCTAGGGACCAAGCACTTTCCTGAGAACTGGATCAAACTCCTGGATTCCAGTAAGTATTCTGCAGTATCACTGATTTGACTTCTGAAGGCTGTGGTGATCTGAAAGCTTTTCAGCAAGTGAGCAATTGAAAATTGGAAATTTTGCGATTGAGCAATCTTGTTACTATAAGTTTTTCTTTATGTTTTTCTTAGGCTATACAATAAGAGGGAAATAGAGTGTACAATACTGGTTAAGTCCCAAATGACATTACAATAAATAGTTTAAGCAATGAATATGCGGAGAGTCTCCTGAATAAGATAGAAGAGCTAAACTGGAAAATTTCTTGGGGGAGGAGCACTAACAAGAAATACAGGCAGAACTACATAAAAATTTTATTCTTCTTAGAAAGAATGGCAAAGTGGTTAAAAAAAAAAAAAACCCAACCTTCAAATTAGAATTTGGCTCTGCTTCTTTTTAGTTACGTGATGAAATGCAAGTTGTTTAACCTAATAACTCTTTCCTGTTTATAGTTGTATATTATATCATTGTAAAAATTATAAAAACTTTATAGTATTGTTATGAGGATCTACACATACTGCCTAGAAATACTTAGAATGTTTTACATAATAAATAGTAGCCATTATGAAACAATCATAGAATATCTGAGCTGTAAAACACCTGACAACTAGCATTTACTTTACATACTGAATGCTCTTCATCAGATTATCTCACTTGATGCTTTTGGTGTTCTTATGAGAATGGTGATATTATTTTAAAGGTAATTTTACAGATAAAGAAATGGAGGCATAGAGGGGTATTGCAATATATTGAAGTCAGATCTCTGATAACTAAATGGAATGAGACTTAGGCCCAAACCCCACAGAGAGCGCACAACATCATACCTTACTCCTTTAACTGTTGTCTCATTTTTTGACGACTGGGGAGAAGAAGGAGGAATGGTCCCCATGGGTGACACCGGAGCCCTTCATAGTGGAAGGTCAGAGATGTCCTTCAAAGTACACTTTGTTATCTGGTGCACAAGGAATGTGATTGTTGCAGGGAGTGTCTGTGAGCATCAATATGGAGGGGGTAGGGGTTTCAACATGGGACCTAGATGCAAGTCGCCTCACTTTCCCTCTCCCAAATATAGCTTTTCTTTTGTAAAACAACCTACCTCAGTATACAGCAGCTCTGAGACGCAAGAGAAATAATATATACAAATGTGTACATGAAGTGCCTGTCCCTGAGCCTCCTGAGCTCACTTTGAGCTGGCCCACTCTGAGTGAGCTAAGTAGAAGCTCTGATTGAAATCTGAACCACCAGGAAGTTCTCAAGCTAGTATCCCTGTGAAGATTTTACTGTTGTCCTTTGTAAACTAGGAAAAGCTTTACAAATAATTATCTTATCAGAAAAGAAATGATTTTGGAATTGTTGGCAAAGAACAAGAATGGCCCTCAAACAGCTTACATGGATGAACACGGGGTGATGGGCTGAAAACCACTTATTCCTAATTCTTCTTTAAGCAGTGAAATCTTGAAACTGAAAAAAAAAACTCACGAATTTGATACAAAATCTCAGGGGGGAATTTTTAATTTTGACCAGGCTTTTGAGGGGATAGGCAAGTTTTTAAGTAGGTTGTATTCCTCTTCCTTGGGCAGAATGGCTCTTCCTGGGAACGAAGCCCTTTGGCCTCATTAGCTTGGCGCTTTCCTAAGCATTGCACTGGGCAGAGTGCATCCACCATATCAGATGAAGGCCAAGGGCAACAGGTCCTCAGCATAGACCTTAAGATGCCCCAGAAAAGTTGCAGTTTCCTCAAATTGCACTATTGTTGTTATACAGGATGTCTAAAGAGAGAATTAACATGACAGTTGAATCACCAAGGGTTCTCTGAATCATCAAAGGCCTTCTTTCTTCTGTCTTCTACCCATTTTACCAAGACTTCTCTGCCACTTCTCTTTTCAGGACCTTCTATGTTGACAGTGTTACTCATTCAAGGCAAAGTTGGCCACTGACACAGTCCTGGTTTCTCGGATGTCACCTGTCTGCCACACTTGCCTGAGTCCCCTTGCATCCCTTGCTCCCTCACGGTCACGGAGTCACCAGGAGCCATTCAGGGGAGGACTTCTCTATCAGCCTCAGCCCCAGAGACTTCCCTATCAATCAGCCACCCGAGAACAGCCACACAAGGGCTGAGGCAGTGGAGAACAGGGGGCCCTGGTTCTTTTGTACGACTTTCCCTGTGGCCCTGGGGTGAAGAAAGGCTTATCTTGAGCTTCCTCTCAGCTGTATGTATTTTTCCCCAGCCTCCTGTTCTTATCTCCCTTCCTTGGTGTTGGCAGATCCCAGGGCTCTCAGGTCAGAGCTGCCGAAGAAGCAGGGACAAAATCCAGGGAAGAGAGTTCCTTCAATAGTCCGTAGCGCGTTCACAGACCACATGCTTGGTGAGTACGGGCTGCTTGGACATGTCCTCCTTACTGTGGCTACTGTCAGCAGGGAAGGAATGGAGGGGGGACACCTTCTAACCCACCTCATCACTCTGGACTGAATGATTCAGCGGCTAATCAATGCTGCTTGCTGGTATTTGGAGACTGACCCTTAACTCTTCTTTTTGGCAGACGCCAACGGGCAGCCATAATGGAAACCAAATCTCCAAAGAGTCCAGGTACCCAAGGGGCATGATCTCAGAAGGAAAAATCTTTTTTTTTTTTTTTCTCAAAAATGATAAATTTCATCACACTAAGCAGGGCACAGACACTGGTTTTGTGGGGATAATTGGTGGCATGCTGGGACAATGATTCTTGGTTTGGTGAATGTAGTAGAAATTGTCAGAGTTAGTTATTTTGTAAGAGCTGACCTGTTTAGGAGTTTTGCATTTTCTGATTTTCATGAGCCAAATGTTCCATTTGTTGCTTGGACACAGTGCTAATAACAAACTAAGGCCCAGCAATGACAGGGTTCTATTTCCTTAATTTTGCATGGTATTCTCACTTAGGAAAACTGTTTAAATTGCTATCAGGGCTTATTATAAGGTAACTCAAGGTATATTATTCAAATATCCTTGCTCATATTCATATAGCTCATTGTTGATGAGTGGCTAGAGGAGTGGAGTTTAGGATGAGGTGATTTAGAAATCAAATTATCCAATTCAACTCCAAAATACTTACAAAGAACCTATTATTGTAAGTCTGTATACTTCCTAAAGGAGGAGATATACAGATAAATTAATGAGTCATTACCTTTAAGAAATTTGTAATCTTGTTGGGCAGTTAAAATAAACACATGTGGGGCCAGGGATTTAGCTCAGTGGTTTCACTGCCTGCTGCGCAAGCACAAGGACCCAAGTTCGATCCCTGGTACCAAAAAAAAAAAAAATAAAATAAAATAAAATAAATAATAAAATAAACACATGTAAATAGGTGTATTGGGAAATTAAGATCAGCACATTTAATCAGGCTATGCTGTAATCATGAAATAGGTACAAAAACACTGTGGGCTGAATACAGGGTGTTCAGGGTTTTAAAAGGGATAGGAAGAGAACACATATCAGCAGAAGGGATGCCATAAACAAAAACAAGAAAATAGTTTAGAGGCAAGATGTGTCAGAGCAAAACGTAATTATAAGGCAGGATGGGGAAGAATAGAGAATGAGGATGAGGAAGGTGGCCCCATAATGTGAACACCTTGACCCTGAAGCATTTGAGTGTGAACATGGCAGCGTCAGGTACTTTAGATATGTCTCTCTCTCTCTCTCTTTTTTGTTTTGTCAGTACTAGAGATTGAACTACCCAGGGTCTTTACAATGAGATGCACCCCAGGTTTTTAAAAATATTTTTTAATATTGAAATAGAGTTTCACTAAGTCACTATTGCCCAGGCTGAGTTCAGATTGCACTCCGCCTACTTCAGTCTCCCATTGCGCTGGGATTACAAGTGTGTGCCACCACACCTGATTGTTAGATTGGTCATATTTTTAATAGTATTATTGTAGTGAATTATAGCTGACATACAATGAACTGCACATAGTTAAAGTGTACAACCTGATGTTTTGATGGATGTATTCACCTGAGAAACCATCACCACTATCAAGGTAGTGAAGGTATCCAACACTCAAAAATTTTCTTAGGACTGTTTGTAATTATTTGTTCTGTCACCCGATCTCACTTCCCATTGCTGTGCATTCTATCACTGTTTGCACTTACTACAGTTTTATATAAATGGAATTATACAATATGCACTCTTGTTTGACCTTTTTCATTCAGAATAATTCATTTGAGATTCATCCACAGGTGTGCTTAGCAATAGTTCGTCTCTTTTAGCGAGTGGTACTCTCTTATATGGCTGTGCCATAATTTCCTGATTCGTTTACTTACTGACAAACGTCTAGGTCATTTCCAGTCTTTGCCAATTACAAGGAAAGCTGATATGAACTTATTGTATAATGATTTTTATAAAATCATATAGTACTTTAAGAACAGAATGGCTAACCATTTGGAAGGAATGTGTTTACCTTTTTTGAATTTATCTGTTTGATTTTTTTAAGTTTTATTGAGATATAACTGACATTGCATAGGCTGACATGTTTAAGTCTACATATTTTGGGGTATATATACAACCATAAAATCATCACCGAAATCAGGGTCATGAACTTATCCACCAGCCTCACTTTTTTGTTGTTGTTGTTCCACCCACCATTTATTAATCCATTCATCTGACAATGAACATCTAAATTGGTTCTATTACAACTATTATAACAGTTGCTCCTGTTCTTTAACTATTACAAATAAAGCTGACAAGTCTTTTTATTGTCATATATTCTTTGTTGGTATACTTGAAAGAATTTTCTAGTTCCACATACGTTGTTATATTTATGGAAATAAAGTTGTTCATTATCTCATTATCAGTAGAATCAGTAGTTAGGTGCTTTCTTTCCTCCAAATATTGGCAATTTGCATCTCCTCTCTTTCCTGATGTGTCTAGCTACATAGAGATTTGTTACTGTAATTGATTTTCAAGTGATCGACTTTTGGTTTCACTGGTTTTCTCTTGTTTTCCTATTTTCTCTTTCATTGAGTTCCATTTTGACCTGTTTCTTTTCATTAATTTGCTTTCAATTTAATTCATTCATTTTTTTCCAGTTTCTAAACCAGAAAGCTGAGATTATTGATGTGAAGCCATTCTGCTTTTCAAATGCAAGCATTTAGTACAATAAGTTTTTATCTTAGGTACTACTTTAGTGACACCTACAAATTCTGATATATTGTGTTTTAATTTTCTTTTTCTTTTTCTTTCAGTACCAGGAATTGAACTCAGGACCTTGCACTTGCCAGGCAGACTCAGCACCACTGAGCTAAATACCTGGCCCCATGTTTTAATTTTCATGCACTGTAGAACATTGTCTACCTCATACTAGGGTTTATTCTTTGATTCAGGGGTTATTTATTTCAGGAATATATATTTGAAGCTTTTATTAATTTCTAGTTTGATTAGAAAATTTTCTCTGAGAATATAATTTGTGTTACTTGAATCCTTTTAATTTAATGAGACTTGTTTTATAGCCCCAAATATGATCAATCTCTGTTAATGTTATTGTGCCCTTCAGAAGAGTGTGGATTCTGCTGTTGTTGAGTAGAACATTCTATATATATATCAATCATATTACATTGGTATGTAGTGTTGTTTAATTCTACAATATCTTTGTTGATTTTTAAAAATTATTTGCTCTGTTATTAAGAGAAGGGTATTTAATTATCTGACTATAATTTCAGATGTCTGTTTTTCCTTATAGTTTTATTAGGGTTATTTTGGTTTTCATTGTTATTGTAATGTTTTCTTGGATGTTTTGAGACAAGGTCTCATTATATAGTTCAGGCTGGACTTGAAATCACTCTGTGGCCCAGGATGGCCTGGAACTCATGGTGATCCTCCTTCTTCAGCTTCCCAAGTGCTAGTATTTTTTTCTTTTTTGAGTACCAGGGATCTAACTCGGGTCCTTGAGCTTGCACAGCAAGCAGCGAAAACACTGAGCTAAATCCCCCACCCCACAAATGCTACTATTATAAGCCTGCCTCATCATGTCCGGCAGTTCTCTCTCTCTTTTTTTTTTTGCTTCATGTGTTTTGAAGCCGTGTCATTAGGTGTACTCTTTATGTTATGCACTCTTAGGATTGTTATGTACTGTTAGGATTAATTGGTCTCTTTATTATTATGAAATGACTTTTATCCTTGGTAATATTCTTTGGTTTGAAATCTACATTGATGCTAATATAGTCACACATGTCTTTCCTAATCTTTCACTTGTAATGACTTGTGTCTTCATATTGAAAGTATGTTTCTTATAAGCAGCATATAGTTGGGTCTTGCTTTTTTTGTCCAATCTGACAACCTGTGCCTTTTAATTGCGGTGTTTAGATGATTTACATTTAATGTTACTAGGGATGTGATTAGGTTTAAGTGTATGTTATTATTATGGTTTCTAATTGTCTCATTTGTTGTCTTCCCCTCTGCCTTCTTCTGGACTGAGCATTTTAAAATTATTCCATTTTACACTGGGTGTGGTGGTGCACACCTGTAATCTCAGCACTTGGGAGGGTGAGGCAGGAGAATCAACATAAATTTGAGGCCAGCCTAGGCTACATAGTGTGTTTGAGGCCAGCATAAACTACAAAGCAAGACCCTGTCTCAAAAAAAATTACTCTATCTTATTTCCTTTGTTGGCTCATTAGTTATAACACTGAACTTTATTATTTTATGGTTTATATACATTTTCAACATATCATAGTCTAATCTCAAGTATTATTATACCCATAAACAGATAATACAAGAACTTTACAGTCTATTTCCATTTTCCCTTCCTAGCCTTTATGTATTTTATTTATACATCTATTATTATCTGCACAAGGCTTTGTTATTTTTGTTTAGATAGCCAATTGACTTTTAAAATATTTTAAATAATAATAAAATCTCACATATTCATTTTTGTAGTTACCATTTCAATGTTCCTAATTTATTTTATAAGTTCAGATTTTTATCTGGTATCATTTTTTTTTTTTCTGCCTGAAAGAAAAAGCCTCCTGACGATGAATTCTTTCAGTATTTGCATATCTGAAAATGTCTTGAAATTTTCCTCATTTTTGAAAGCTATTTTTTGCTGCCTATAGAATTCTGAATGATAGTATTTTTTCTGTACTAGAAGTATATTATTCCACTTTCTTTCTTGCTTGCATTGTTCCTAACAAGAAATCAGTATTTTTCTTCCTTGTCTTTGTTCTGTATGCATCACTGATTTTAACGTTTTTTCTTTATCACTGATGTTGAGAAATTTGACTTTGGTGTACTTCTCTTCATATGTCTTGTGTTTTATGCGTTTGAGGTTTATTGAATTGCTCAGATCTCTGGGTTTATATTTTTAGCATCTTTCTTTGAATATTTTTGTTTGTCTGCAAGGAACTCCAATTACTTGTACATTGAGTCACTTGGAACTGTCCATACTGTATAGGTACATTTCCATGTTTTTAAATTCTTATTTTAGTAACTTTTTATTTTGATAATTCTTATTGCTATGCTTTCAGGTGCATATTTTATTCTACAATATTCAATCTGCTATTACTACCATTCATAGTGTATTGTCTTTAGGACATTGTAGTTTTCATCTCTAGAAGTTCACTTTGATTATATTTTATTTTCTATCTCTACCCAATTCTTGAAAATATAGTAATAATTGTTTATAACCTTTTTGCCCAATTCTAACATCTTTGTCAGTTATAGATCTATTAGGATTGATTGATTATTCTTGTCATTATATGTCTTTTTTTTTTTTGCCTTTTTTGCATGCCTGGTAATCTTTGACTGAGTTTCAGACATTGCACATTTTACTATTTTGGCTACTGGATTTGTGTTGTTGTTGTTGTTACTATAAATCTTGAGTTTTGTTCTGGGGTGCAGTTAAGTTTCTTGGAAACAATTTGATCCTTTTAAGACTTGCTTTCATGATTTGTTAGGTGGGTCTGGCACAGTCCTCAGTATAAGACTAATTATTCCTCACTACTGAGTCAAGACCTTCCTGGGGACTCTACCTAACATCCTATAAGTTATACCTTTTTCCAGTCTGGCTGGAAGGAGCAGGCAATTTTCTGAAGTGAGCAATGAATGATGGTCTCTCTAATCTCTTCTAGTAGTTCTTTCTCTGGACTCAGGTAGGTTCAGCACACACATATGCTGATCAATACTCTTGAACAGGTGAGGACAACTGCGTATGTTGCCTTTCAGCTTAGGAAATGTAAGCAAAACCACCTACTACTGACAATGAGGTGGCAAAATGGTTAAACAAAGAGGTTCCCAAAGTATTAACATCTTCTTTGTAAGTGGTGGAATTATAAAAGCTTTTTTTTTATTTACCAAAATGAACATGAAAAATATGCATTACTTTTATTATTTTGGTAGAATAAAAATTTTAAGAGCTTAGTTTTACTTTCATATCCAGGATATAGGTCTAGTTTGGCCTTAGCTTTGGAAAAGGCAAATCTCTTACTTTACTTTTTTTTACCTTTGGAAAAGGCAATCTTTTCCTCTTCCCTAACTTTTGCAGCAACTCCACCTCCCGCCCCTCAAAAACCACTTTAGTACCTAATTTTTAGTAGCAGATGGTTTTGCTTTTATTTGCTAAGCCAAAGAATAATGTCAAGAAACATCTTGCTCCTACAATGGAAATGCAGAGAAAGCTTTCACATCTAGACAGTTTATAACATACTCCATAAATGGAGAGCCAGACAGGAATGAGCTGAATTATGGTGCTTCTATACATCATCTGAATGAAGGCCACAACTATAGGTGAATAAGAAGCACATACTTAGTACTTTGTTTTCTTGGGCTATTGTAGATGTTCTTTTGAATAACTGAATAATTAGAAAACCTTTCCAAAGACAAACAGTGTTTTCCAACTGTTCTTTTATGATGTTTATGACAGAACAAACTGAGTCCTGTTCACTTTCTTTTATTAGGCAAACAATTTACATCTTATTATGAAAATGAAGTCTATAAACAAGATTACTTTATTAAGTCACCACCTCCTCAGCTTTTCTTCTCCACAGTAAGTATTCACTACAGTTTAACAAGCCTCCCACCAGCTTCATGAGCATTTTTTAATGTTTTTCTCTTCTTCTGAGATTTAACTGAGTTGCAAAACTTTTTCATTTTTTTAGGCCTCTTGGAAAAGGCGGTTTTTTATCCTGTCAAAGAGTGGGGAAAAGAGACTTAGTCTTTCCTATTACAAAGACCATCATCACCGAGGTTCCATTGAAATTGATCGGTGTGTATTCAAGCAAAAAAACTTTTACAACAACAAATACTATCAAGTCAAATACTAACAAGCTGCATGCAAATTTGAACTTAAATAGTGGACAGAAGGAACCAAGAAATTTCACACCTATTATAATATTTAGCTGAAAAGGAACTAAAATAATGAACATTTTGGGTAAAAGAAGCTAAGTATTTAGTTCATATTGTATGTTATAGTTGATACATCTTTAATTAGTAAATATTCAGTTAAAAAGAACTTTAGTTCATTTAATTTGTAGATGGGGGGGAGCAGATGAAATTGCTATTTTGTTAAGCCAAGATGGATTTTTAAAAATATTTAGAACAGCTCTTTTTGTCTTCTTTTTAAGAAATAATGTAAAAAACTGGAAAAGATGATGATTTATGATTTATGGAATCAAGAATCCAACCAAAATAAGAACTTTTGAATTAAATTTCAGGCTGAGGAAAGTGTTTTCAGTTAGTGATAAACTAGATCCAAAATCCAAATTTATTTTCTATAATAAAATAATTCAAATAATAGCAATAATTAAAATTATTGGATAATCTTAAAAAACAGAGCAAGCAGATCTTAAGTTTTATCCACTTTGAATCCTAATATAAAACAGTGAGTTTTCTTCCTAATTTTGTATGTACTTTGGGTTTAGTACTATGTGTCTACTTCTAACAGAAATTCCAGTGTAGAAGTTGGTATAAAGAGCCCAGAAAAGATGCAATCTGTGCAGAAGATGTTTAAATGCCAACCTGATCAGGTGATGTCTATCAGTACCACTAACAGGGATTATTTCCTCATTGCTGAAGACAGGTGAGTAATAAGGTATGTCTCCTGTGTGTGAAACAAATCCGCTAAAAAAAAAAAAGCATTGTAAACTGATAAACAATAAAAATACTCTGAGTCGAAACCTATAGCCATGTACTCAGATGCCATTTTGGCAGACTTTATTATTTGTTAAAATGCCTTTTAAAACTCAGTGTAGTAATTCCTAGGGCTGCTGTAACAAAATACCACAAACTGGGTGGCTTAGAACAACAGAAATGTATTATCTTACTAGGCTAAGTCTCAAAATCAAAATGTTAGCAGAGCCATGCTCTCTGAGCCTGCACCAAGCCTCTCCTCTAACTTCTGGTAGTCCCATGGCTTGTGGTGTTCTCCCTGTGTGCATATCTTTGTGTCCAAATGACACCAGTCATACTGGATTAGGAGCCAACTCTACGGCAATGTGATCTCATCTTAACTAATTATATCTGCAATGACCCTATTTCCAAATAAGGTCACATTCTGATGACTGGGATTGGGATTGGAACATATTCCAGGGCAGCACAAATTAATTTATAATAGTCACTGTCACCCAGATGTACTCCACATAAAAGAACGCAATACACAAGCATTTGTACAAGAGGCTTGTATCAGGGAGGCACACTGCCCTCTGCTGAAGGAGTCTTTGGATTTGAAGAGGGTTTCCCGGTGCTAGCAAAAGTGCTCTGTGGATTCTTCACACCTGCTTATCTGCTTGGGAGAGGCTGTGGTGGGGAAAGGGGCAGCGACTGCTGAAGCCAAGCATGAAGGACTTTGATCTGTTTCAGACTCACCCAAAGCCCCAATGTGAGTCAGTGGGAAATAAGATGGAATTTATGTAAATTCATTCAAATACAGTCTTAATAAGAACATGCATTCTCTGTAGGTTGGCATAATTACATAAAAACGGTGCCGACAGGTTAGGGGTTTGCTTAAGACTGCAATAGAAATCAGTGTTAAAGCCCAAACTCCCAAACCCTGTGATTACTATTATTGTTTTCTACCGCTCTTTCCATTTCTCTGAGTTTTCCTCATGGAGGTGGCATGAGAGTTAATTCTAGTGTGCAAATGTGGAGGTGGTGAGGAACCAGAGGGCCATATAAGCTACTTGGGAAAAATCCTCATTTCCCTGGTAGCTGCTCCCATGGCCTATTCTAGCAGTAATAAAAGAATCCGTTTCCAGGATTCACAATGATGCAGGTGCCATTGTTGCCACATGCTAGCTCAAAGTTTATTCCTATCAACAGGAAGAAGATTAAAGATTGGGTCTCCTTCTTGTCATCGTTTCGGCGGAGTATAATAGCAGCTCATCAGAATACCGAGGTGACTGTATATCACTAATAAATAACAGGGCACCTGAGCACAACCCTCTTTCAACAGAAACAGTGGCAGCTTTTTCTTTTTCCATAGCAACTGGCATGAACACAAAGGATAAATAAGTGTGTGTCCTTGTTATTTTTTTATGATTAACAAAAGGGAGAAAAACTTTTGTGTTTTTTAAGAGAGCTAAAAATACAGACACTTTGATTATTGTGGTAGGGGGGAGTGAAAGTTAGCAGTAATCTAGAACTACAGTATTTTCCACCATTATTATTCAAGGTACATAATGAGTTTTCTTTCAACTGACTAAGTCTAGGCTGATATCTATAAAAATGTTTTTCATTTATTATGCACTTTAATATGCCTCTTTTGGGTAAAAGCTAGTAATTTTAGGTTTTTAAGGGGCCTTTGTTAATTTATAAAAGTTCTTTCTTAGAGCAGACCTTTGCAAAAGGACCTTTGATCTCTAGGTGTCTTATTCATGTATTTTCTAGGATGTTCCATGCTCACAGCAAAAGCAAAGCCAAGGAGGAGGAGAAAGGAAAGCATTTCTATGTGCAGACTCAATAATAAGAGCAGAGGAGATGGGGTATAGGCGGAGACACAGCTGAGAAGGGAGGCTGATTGAAGGAAATCAGGGTGGCCCTCAAGGCCAGGCTGAGCATCCCCAGGGGTTGGAAGCAGGGAAGGGACAAGCTGACAAGAGTGGTCCTAATCTTAGTGAGATAACACTGGCCGATGGGTACTCTAGATAGTTTATGGCTGTGGAGAGACACTGGAGGCAGGTTGCCCAGTGAAGAGGCTGTCACTTCATTCCAGACTGAAGAGCAGCTGTGCCCTGACCATGCAATTGCTTTTTCCCCGCAGGAGAGATGCTCTTTGGCTGATAAAAGGCCCATTTCTCACCCCAGCTTTTTCCCTGCTCCTTCAAGCGCCTTGGACATTGTTGCCTCCACCTCCCCAAGGACCAGTCTTCCCGACATGGTAATCAGACACCTCCTTCTCTCTCTGAACACTACATGTGGGAGTTGGCCAGCGCTTTGAAAATCTTACGGGTTAGCAGTTGAATTTGATCGTCCTAAAAGCTTAACACACACTTAGAATGAATCCTAGCCCTAGTATTTATGATCTGTTTAGTTTTCCACACCACAGATAGACTTTACCACTTGCCCTGCTACTTCTCAATATCCGTATTCCATTTAGATGTTCTTGACACTTGTCCGGTATGCTAGGCTGAGGTCCCTGTCCTTCCTTTCACATATCGGTGACAAATCCCTCTGTAAAAAAAGATTTCTCTTCGTTTCCTGCTGTACTGTCTGTACTTCTTAGGCATTGGAAGAATTTGGTGATTTTCTTCACTCATCCTGATTAGTCTTCTCATTAAAGCTGAATGGCATTTCATCTTTGTTTCTAACAAAATCCATTGGAGAAAGTAAAATACAATACACCCACCTCTTAAAGGCAACTTGTAATTGAATCCTCGGCTTTCTTGGACTTGTGGTGTTTCCAGTTTGGGATATTAGTCATAAACAGACTAAGTGGTTTTATTTTCCAGCATAAATCCTATTTCATCACTTAGAGACAATGCCATTGATGTCCCCTCTCTGTGGGTACCTAATGAGGCATGGCCTCCTATTTTATCTAGTTGGCAGCTCTCCAACTATTTTAAAAGCTCTTTGTAACATATAAAATTCACAGGCCAGACACCTCATTTCAGTTACCCATTTAGTGATATGATAGAAATGATGGTAGGAAAGGGGGTTGGGAAGCTGAACACTTTACAGCAAATGTCTCTCGCATTTCATTCATGAGGTCCTTTATCCCCCCAGAGATAATATTGCTGGAGTTTTTGCCTTTTCACACTACATATTCAGATTCGGTGATTTTTCAACCAGAGTCGAGGGTACCATTGGTCTTGTTGGATCTTGTACTGTGGCTGTTTAAGTGGGAGGCTTTCTTCACCCTAACTTAGCACAATCTAGTTCCATGAGTGTCTTAGTCCATTTTTAGCTACTGTAAGGGAATACCACAGACTAGGTGGTTTCAAAAGCAAAAACATTGTCACATTTCTGGAGGCTAAGTCGAAAATTGAGGGAGTCACACCTGGTGAGGATCTTCTTGTTGCATATAACATTGCAGAAGACCAAACAGGCTGGCGCAAGACAGAAAAGAAAGTCAGGCTAAATTCAATCTTTTTATCAGGAAACCACTCATTTAATGACAGTGTTAGTACATCCAGGAGAGCAGAGTTCTCATGTCCTAATCATCTCTTAAAGTCTCCACCTGCTGATACTGTTACAGTGGTAATTAAATTTCAACCTGAATTTTGGAGTGGACACTCAAACCATAACAATGAGCTTGGAGCTAGAAAAATGGACACAACCTAAGTACAGATGTCCTGGACTGACAGTGGAGTAGCAAGCTGAAAAAACCCATCATTGATTGAAAATATCCTAAGTTGAAAATGCATTTAATACACCTAACCTATGGGACACCACAGCTTAGCAGCACAATACACAGCTTAGAGGACAGCACAATGTTGGTTGCCCCCCCCCGCCCCGCCCCGGAGCTGCAGGGCTGCTAGGAAGCTCAACATCAGGAGAGACTATCACACTGCCTATCACTGGCCCAGGAAAAGATCAAAATTCAAACTTTGAAGTGTGATTTTTGCTAAGTGTGCACTGCTTTTGCACCATTGTGGAGTAAAAAAAAAAAAAAATTAAGTTGAACCACCATAAATCAAGGATCATCTATACCTACCTTTTAAAAATCACCTTTCAAAGACTTCTCAGAGAACATTGAGAGTGTTTTGAAAACGTCCTGCCATCAGGCATTGTTCTTGGAGGAATTAAATTATCCTTGTAATAGCTCCCTTGTCACACAAAAGAGCTGCTTTGCTAGAGTATCCCGTATCTCGTTGGGGAGGGAAGGCAGTAATTAACTGGTTGAACCCGCATCACCTTGAAGCCTATAATTCGTAGTGTCGCGTGTTCAACATTATCTAATTGCACCGCTACGGAAACAGTAGATGTATGTGAGAAGAGCACAAAAGAGGAATACTGAGCAGGCAAAGGAAAAGTACAGGGCTTGACTGTGGGCTAATTACTTTCTCAGATGCCAGGAGCTGACAAACGGGAAAAGATGGGAGTGGGGATGCCGTGGCAGAGCTTAGTAACTTACAGCGCCACCCACAGGACAAAATCACTCTCTCTGAGCCACAGCGCCACGTAGTTGAGAAACAAAATTAAGTGATGTGCTTACATCATCAGAGGTGAACAAATTCAAGAAGCAAATTCAAGGTATACGGCTTCTGTATACGACCTTGGCAGATCCTCTGATCTTGTCAACCCATCTATGAGAGCTTTTCCAGAAAGCATGTGGTTTAATTCTGTCTCATTAGGGGAATTTCATTTTGGGAAAAGAGAAAGAAAACCATTAATTCCTTCTGCATTTCTTTTATTCAGCACTTAATGGAAAAAAGCCCTCCAGGATACGGGGAAGCTCATCTTCCACATGTTTTCTTGCCAGAGACCACTGAAGATACAGAAGAAGAGAGCAATTATCTTACTCCTCGCAGTGTTCTTTTAGAGGTAACCCCTCCTATTCATTAGTCATTCATTCCTTCAACAAATGTTCACTGAGTCTGTGCCATGCACTATTCCTCAGAACAATAATTGCCTTGGGGAGTCTTTTTGCATTCTGGATTGAAAGAAAGATAAGAGCAAATGTCCTTTGGTGATAAATTGTATGGTGTGTATTAATCTGTTTATTGATCAGTTGGAAGCCCTTCTGAGTGCGAGACACTACTGCCCTAAGCATGGTGGCTACAGCAATGAACCTGACATTTCGCATGTCCTAAGAGCTCACAGTATTACCAGCTGCCACATGATAATGCTGCACAAAGAGGCACAAAATGCTCTGGAAGCATTTAGAAATAGGACAGCATTTCTCTCTCCACTGGAGTCAGGGGAGCCTTCAGAGATTAAATGGAATTTGGTGAATAGCTCAGTTAGGCTGAAATTCAGAGTACATGAGTGGCATAGCAACAACAACAAAGAGCCTGACTGTGATTGGTCTTGATTTCTGCACAGGGGCAGAGATGGCTTCCAAGTTGGGAAGTGGTAAAACCTGAATTGTCTTTCAATCATATCAACCCAGGAGATATATCTATAGTGCATTAAGAAAATGGAAGTAGAGGTAGAAAGACAAAATGGGTGGGGAGGTGCATCATTTCCTAAACTGGGGGTTTTCTACTAGATGATGACTTGCTCATTTAAAGAAGCATTCTAGGATCAGGTGTGTTATGGAAATGCCAGTTTAAAGTTAAATAAGCTTCATATCACCAGAATTCTCAGAGCCTTTGGTGTGCAGTGGTGCATCAGTAAGAGCCAAGTGGTATACAACACCCAGTGTTTCCTAAGCTCACTTGACTACAGAACCTTCTTTCCCCCAAAATGTTTTCGTACTAGTGTTCCCTGGGGACAGAGTCTTTTATGATAGTCCACGGTGTTATCAAGTATCAGTTATAAGCCAGCATTTGGTAGACACTCTGTGGGATGCAGAGTCTAGGAAGGCAGATAAAACTATGCAGTAGGAATTCAGAGAGTCATCAGTAGTGGCTGAGGTGATGGACGTAGGTATGGGACTTCGACCAGGCCTGACTATGATTTCAAAGGGCAGAGGAGAAAGGGGGTGTCCCAGATGAAGGAAACCGCACGAACATGGGGACTACAAAAGCACCATTAGTGAGGGGCGGCAGTGGGAAGACTGGCTTGACTGGAAAGCAGTGTTAGAGTTATGGTTTAGTAATGAACTAGATAGGGATGTCTTGGGAGTTTGGAACAACCATGACAGCCAATGACTCTTAGTTCTAAAAGGCTCGTTGAGCACCTCCCAAGGGCAGCATTTTCTAGGATCCTCACAATTCTCAGAAGTAACTTGGGCTACCTGTTAGCATAGGAGCCTAAGACCAGCTCCACAGTGAGTCTGGTCTTTGACCTCATAGCTTCCATGATTCTGTACTAGAACTGACCAGGGGAAAGGGGTTGTGTCATTAAGTGCCTAGTGATGAAACAAAAAGATCAATAGCAATTTAGTCCAGTAGGATACTTGTGTCAAGAGGATGGGGCCCCCAAGAAAATAGGCTTTGAGTCTACCAGAAACTTTGCTGGTTCAGTCTCATGTAGGTAAGGATGGTTGATATGCCCTGAATGAGAACCACTGTTCATCCAACAGTAGATGTACTTACTATTTCAGGGCCCAGAGCAGTAATGTAAGAAGGTGTCTGGCTGATTGATAGACTTGCATCCTTCTGACTCTTCCTCTTGTCTTTAGGTGGATAATATTATTGATTCCAATGATTTTGGTGAATGCGTTGAACCTGGTTGTCCAAATGGGGTCTCCAAGGAAAGTGAGCACCATTATATGTCAATGAAATCCTTGTAAGTAAAACTGCCATTTTAAAATTTGATTTTAACTTATGTACTTTTACAATTACTACCAATTCATTTTTAATAGTTGAGAAATAATACAATAATACCACAGACTCCATTTAAACACATTATTCAGCACAGTTTGAATATCGCTTATCCAAAAGCTTAAGACCAGAAGTGTTTCAGATTTTGGAGTCTTTGTATATACATAATGAGGTATCTTAGAGATGGAACTTAAGTCAATGAACATTAAATTCATTCTGTTTCATATACACCTTATACACATAGCCTGAAAATTATTTTATATTATTTTAATAATTTTGTGCATGAAACAAAGATTCATGGTGTAGAATTTTCCATGTGTAGCATCATATTGGAACATATTTCGTATTTTGGATCATTTCAGCTTTCAGATTCTTGGGTAAGGCATGTTGAGTTTATTTTGTGACCTCAAAATAAGAAAAAGTAGCAATGGTTTCTCCATCCACAGAAAACCGTTTGTGACATCCTCAGAACATTTTCTGTCTGGGGAAGTTGTTTCCTATTTTGCATTTACGTCTCTCACATTCTCACTCTGTCCTCCAAATCCTGTAAGGGATTATTTTGATTTTATATCCATTTTTAGAAGGAAAGCTTGTTGGATTTGATTCTCATTACGACTCTGACCCTGATGTTTGGACATACTCCAAGACCTTGTTACTTTTCACATGGCTGTTAGCTGCTTAAATCTGACACGCACTGTGGAAAGTTGAAAATAGACATGCTAAAAAAAGGGTTTGCTTTAACTTCTTATACTCTAGATTTTTCAAAGAGACAACTGATGCATCTGCTGATTGTCAGACCTTTCCAGAGAGCCAGGATGGGGGGCCTCACCGGCAAGATCAAGACTCAGGAAGTGATTCATGCCTTTCACCTGCCAACACAGAAGCACAAACTGCAAATGATAAACTGGGGTCAGCCCCACTAACTGTTGTGAAATTGTCTGTTCTACTCAAGTAAAGCTCTAACTTCAACTTTATGGGCCCTAAGAGCAAAGCAGGCTTCCTATTTTTACTTAGAATTCAAATATTGAAGCAGTTCCTAAAACTCTCCAAGTCAGCTGAGAATCTGACCAGTTTCTCCCTGTAATTGATGTTGTGGCCAAAGACAGTGAATAACCGGGCTGGAGCAAAGCTTGGTCCCCTGGGGTGTCCCTTGGGCTGAAGGTGGTAGTTTTTACTATTTTTATAAATTCTCCCTTGGCTAGTCTTTCAGGTCCTGAAGTTTAGAATCCATACTGATCTGAGTAATACATCACCTGAGTTTTACCATGAACATAATTATGGGCATGCAAGTCTCGTGATGCTTGGTTACAGGAACATTTAGGTTTTATGTGATGCTAAGAACATTTGATAAGATTGTTGTCATTTTAACTCGTCCCCTTGTCCTCTTCTGTGGAATCATATCTAGGAGAGAAATACACAAACTGATCTGATGTGGATGGTTATGTAACAAAGCAGTCCACTTGTGCCTCCATTCATTGCCTACCACCCACTTCCACAGGCCAAGAGGGATGGGGAAGGACATTAATGACTAATTTTCAGGAACTTAAATTCATATGTCTCTTCAAATGTTTTAAACAATCTTTAACTGGAAAAATATCATCTCAGAAATAGGAGGTCAATGGGCCAGGGATTTAGCTCAGTGGTTCTGCCGCCTGCCTCGCAAGTGCAAGGTCCCGAGTTCAACCCCCAGTACCAAAAAGAAAAAGGAAATAGGAGGCCCAAATCTACACCGAAAGGACAGCTCAGAGCCAGGGACAGTTGCATGCTGTGACTTTGACAAATGTTTTCTCTCTCGGTAACATCTCTGATGAAAGCCACGTGGAGACCTTAAATGTGTGCCTTTCTGCTCCTGATATCATAAACCATCTTGCTCTCATAGAAGCTGCAGGACGGATATGGTAGGTGGGAAATTCAACTGTTAGTGACCATAAACGAGATTAAAAGATAAGATAATTCTAATTTGAAGCAGTATTTGACAAAACTGACAGGGGGCTTGGATTGTTGTCTTTGAGGCCAAACAACAGTAGTGATGTGTGGAGAGTGAGCCAGGAGGTGGGTGTAAGAGGACCCAAAAGTCAAGGCAGTGGCACATTTCCGACTTCTCAAAGGTGAGGGAGAGTGGGTGAGAACACATATGGCCAAGGACATCATGCACTGCCCAGTGACTATTTCATGAATGAAAGAAGTGAGTGAGGTTAACAAGAGCCGATGGTCTAATAGAAAAAGGCAGATCAGGACATAAGGCTTCCAGACACCAGCTAAAAGAACCTCCGGTCAAGGACTCAGACGTAAGACTGTGTACCAGGGAATTTTCTTAACATAATCACTGTTTGATTCTAAATTCTTTTCTTTTTCTTTTTTATCCAGCATTAGGAATTGAACCCAGGGGTGCTCCACCATGGAGCTTCATCCCCAGCCCTTTCTATTTATTATTTTGAGACAAAACCTTGCTAAGTTACGCAGGCCAGCTTTGAACTTGCAATCTTCCTGCCACGGTGTCATGCCTGGCTTCCCTCTACTTTCTTTCAAACACTGTAATTTATTTTGATGGAAGATTGCATGTTTAGAAGAGAAGAATATCTTTTAACATGAAACAAATGCTACACATTCGATGTCTTCTAAGTGGGCAGGAATCATAACCTTGCATTTTACTAAATTTTCCACAACCAAACCTCAATAAATACTTGATCAGATTGTGGACTTCTCTGTGACTACGTTTGCTCATTCATTCATTAGATATTGTGTAATTTTATGAGCTTACTTCCAGTTAACATATATGGAGCATCCTCTATTTACTTGTAGTTATGGAGTTACAAAACTTTAAAACAAAACGAAGAGGTGGCACCACACCTCCCAGTAAACAGAGTCAGGTGAAAAGATACCCTCATAAACAAGTAAACACAAAAGGCATTTTATTTAAAAATATGATGAGTAAATTACTTATAGATAGACATGCAGTAGAAGTCTACAGGCAGGAGAGATTTATTACAGCAAAGGAAGTAGAAAGTAGGGTTTTTCAGGGAGCAGGGTTCTGGAGGAAAGGTTTGGCTCTAACAGTAGTGACAGAGGAAAAGTTACTCCAAGTGGAAAAGAAAAGAGCATCTACTTGAGGTGTGGTGCAACCCAATTCCGAGGATAGAGTCCCTGCAGGCCCACTCTTGTCCTGTTCTCCCTATGCACTCTCTCTCACCCACGTATCAACTGTTGTGTTTCTACTGCAGTGTGGCTCAATGGGAAGGCCCCTCACCCCTGGGATGCTTATTTTGCCATGGAGATCATGTCTTGGCTGTGAATGGCATGAAGCCCCAGAACCTGGAAGAGGTGTCCCTGTTTCTCACCCGGTCTATACAGAAGGAGGTGAGTCTCACTGACCAGCCCTGGCCAGGGCAAACCTTTAGACCCAGCAGACACAAGATCAGAGTTTTAGAGTGAGTCTTTTGAAAAGTGCTCAGAATACAAATGAAATTCTTCCCTTTCATATACAGTAATATTTGGCAAGAGCACTGGTCTGGAGACAAGGATATTGGGTTCAGGACCTCAGGAGCAAGCTCACTGTGGCAAAAGAACTTGTGTGGAATCAGCCTGGCTCATGGATTGTAACAACAATGTCTTTAACTAGGTTTTGTCTGTCTCCTCGAATTCTGTAAGATTAGGGATACTAATAGTGCCAGTTGCTGGAGAAGTAAATAATATGTTCTAATGTGCTTACAAGAGTGACTCGCACATAAGGAGGACAATCTAGTCACAGTTATTTTTACTTCTCCTTCAGTTGGCCATGAAATGTTGGACAGGCCTACCTTTTTAAGCCTTAGTTTCTTCATCTCAGAAATCAACATTATCTTATGTTCCTCATGGGCTTATTATAAGAATTAAACATAACATGTGAGTATGCTCCTAAGTATATTTTCACAGGATGGGCCTACTTTTTAAATTTTTATTTTTATAAATAAATATATGGAGTACATAATGATTACATTCATCATGGGGAGTTAATACATGTACACAACACATCTTAATTCTTTTTCTATCTTCTTCCCTGGGCTAGCTTACTTTTAAATGATCTTGTCTATTAATACATTCTTCATATAACTCATTCCTTTCTGGCCAACTTTTATTTCTAACTAGCCCCATGACCTTGAAAAAGTCATATTCCTCTCTGGGCTTGAGTTTCTTCTATAGTGAGAGGGTCAGTTTTCAAACTGTACTGATTGGACCTGTGGGTTGAGTGGGAGAAGGGTAATGAGACAGTATGCTGAGGTTTCAAGAAAAAGTCCACATTTATTGTTTCTCTTTTATAAGCCAGGTAAGTCTACCACATTGTCCTGTTAGTTTTCCTCACAACCACCTTTCCTTGACTTGAAATTTCTGGAAAAAATACCAGATAATTTTTCTTCTGGCTCTGAGAATGTATGACTAAGTACCATATGTACAGCATTCTAGGGGCTTCTCTAGTCTGCTTTTTCAAACTTTTCCAAACTTCTCCCATGAACCAGGCCAAAGATTTTTAAGCCACACAGTCAGGTAGCCACAGCAATGATGCCACTTCTGGTACCAGAATCTGTCTTAAGCACTTTCCTCATCACTGGACATAATACCTAACACTCACAACTTAAAAGAGGAGAGGTTTATTTTGGCTCATGTTTTCAGTCTATGGTCAGCTGGCACCAAAGCAGAAACAGCATGGCAGATGGGCATAACAGAAATGAAGCTGCTCATATCAAGAAGCAAAGAATGAAGGAAAGAGCCTACGAGGTCACGACCCCAGTGCCCTGCCTCTTTCAACTGACCTTACCTCCTAACACCACACTCGGTCATTGAACTCACCAGTGGATTGAATCCATTAATGAATGCAGTGCTCCATGATCCATCTACTCTCCACCTCTAAGTGCAAGACAGTCTTGAGGGATCTTCCAGATCCAAACCACAACAGGAGCCCAGTGGTCAAAGAGGGTTACTACCCTTTGGGAAGTAACCAAACAATATTCTGACCCAAAGATCCAGGCACTGGTTAAAAGACCAAGAAAAGAGTTTTGGACTCGGGGCAGATGCCATAATTCTACCCAGTATCACTGCCTGCACTTCGTCATCTTTGCCTTTTTATACCGGACAGTCATTTGTACAGGCAGAGGACACCAGAATTTCTCTTGTGCCCATTCTGTCTTCCTCCTTCTGTTTGATAACAGCTCCTGGATGCTATTGAGAATTATAAGGTATCCACCAACATTATTATCTGGGAGATGAGAAGATTCTCCTTCTTTCCCTCCATTCCTGACTTCTTTCTTTCATGTAAAAATGAATATCTTCTTTTTAAATCCAAATACCTGGTCCCTGAAAGGAAAAAAGATTGTTGAAAAAAGGAGATGTGGCCCCAAAGGAGAAAGAACAATAGCCTTTAATGTTTTAAAGCACATGAACCAATCAGGTCTACTTTTCTTCCTGTTAGGTTACAGTTCGGAGAGATGGGCAGTTGGGGTAGGGATTGGATAAGGACAACGGGGGGGAGAATGTAAGATTTTTTTTTTAAAGGCAGGGTAGGCAGCGTGTGTAGCAGGGAGGAGTGGGAGGATACACTAGATTTTGGGGAGAAACTCACTGAACCTTGATTTCTTCCCAGTTTCTTTCCCTTTTTGATGGCTTTGTTTTGATTCACTGGTCTCAAGAGACCTGTTAAATTCTTGGTGCTACTGGTCCCCTCTTGGTACCACTGATCCCCTCTGTGATTTACCCTAAAGGATCAGGTTATTGAGTGGATGCCAGGAAATAAAAATCCATCAGGGCTGGGGATTTAGCTCAGTGGTTCCGCTGCCTGCCTCACAAGCACAAGGTGCCAAGTTTGATCCCCAGTACCAAAAAAAAAAAAATTCTACCGAATATGCAAGTCATTGAGCCATTTCTAGTTTCCTCTGGCCTACTGTAGCTCATTTCAGGATTTTCTTCAAAATCAAATTCAGTGCTATGAAGGTGGACAGATTGAGAACCAAGAATCTTAAAAATAATCTTCACTCATTTCGTTTTCTTTTTTCTTGTGTTTAGGAAATAAAACTCACCATAGGCCGCATTCAAAATTCAGAGAAATTCCATGTTATACCCTGTACATGCTCCTTAAAAAACCAAGGGGCTGCACCTGGTCAACAGGACAAGTCTGAACCAGAGAGGACACTAAAGAGGAGTGCAGCAATGAAGAAGGGCCCGCAGCAGGGAGGCGGACAGAAGCCTGCTGTGGACCCACTGCAACAGGGGGTGGAGCCTCGGTGCACCCTGGGCTCTGCTACTCACAGCCTGTGACAGAAGAAGAGCTCACATGCCTCTCTGAATCACTGTATCTGCATCTTAACAATGGGGCTAACTATCCCCTCTCTAGCCATGGCATCAAAGATGCTAAGAAGGTCAGGTGGTACAATAGCTAGGGACCACAGTGAAGATGGAAGGCCTGATTATCTGAGACTTTGTCTCAAACAGCACAGAGATAGATTGGGCAAGTCCTTCATCTAATTAATACACACTGTGTATTCTGTGAGGTCATGGTCCACATAATCACTTCTTTGTTGAGAAACAGTTGGAAACACTTATTGCAGGAAGGCAAGATTCCCCAGAGAGATGAGAGGCCCTCTGGGCTGGCCCAAACACCTCCTGGGAGTATTCACCCTCCAGAATCTAGAATGCAAGGTCAGCATGGCTTCTTGGATTCAATACATCTCTTTTCTTAAAGACCCAGTAGCTATTTTAGAAGTTGAAGCAGTTGTAGTTTTCAGATCCAAGGTTGATTTCCTTGCTTCACTAATAATGAGAACTACTTCTCAGTTCTAAGTTTGAATATTCTTAATTTATTGATGCATGAATAAATTGCTCCTGGAAGGCCACAAGGACCAAATGCTTTTTAATAAATAGGAAACCAAAGACAGAGCACTAAAGCGCTAATCCAACTGGGGAAAATAGAGCAAAAGGGGCCTTGGAAAATATGTCTTGCTTGGTTGTTATTTCATATGGAAGAAATCAAGGCCTAGAATGGTGAATGATGTACCCTCTTCGTGGCTCCAAGTTTCATAGCTGTTTAGTAGCAGAGCCAAGAATCTAAAACCAGCTCTGGAAAGCAAATGTCCCAACCTTCAACTTGTATTTGAATTTAGATTAGAAAAGCTCTTTAGCACTCACAAGAGATGTTCAAACACGTTTCATCTTCTGTTGTCCAGGAAGGATAAAGTTTTCTCATTTACATGCTATGTTTGACCTACTATCTTCTGCTTCTAGAAAAATGTATAAATATACAATGATATCTGTAAAATCAAAAATGTTTACTGCTACACCTTAGCATTGTTTGCGGTAATGAAAAAGTCATTTGGGGATTAATTATTATTTCATAGAATTTAACAGGGCAGATGTTTAAAAGTTTGGCATATATGGTTATGGGTAATGTGCATAATATATTAAAAATGATTTAAAAACGAAAGAAGCAAACTGCAATATAGTAGGTGTAATATTGACCTATTTTTGTAAAAATAAATTTTGGGGGTTTGTGTAGGTATGCATATAAAATCTCCCCAGTGCTAGTTAAGAGTGAGCTACCTACCTCCTGGGGAAGTTGTAAGGTTTCAGTTTGGTACATTTCCCTCTTCCTAAACACTCCATCAAGTGTTATTCAGCTGCCTCTCTGCTATATCTTTTCATCTTTTGTTTTTTTAAAGTTAAGAATAATCCACACTCAATTGTCAATAAAAATTATTCTGAGAAGCATCATCAGGGTTGGTCCAGTGGGAGAAGCATTTCTGTAATGTTTGAATTTGTATTTTCTTTTTATCATGAGCACATGTTGCTTTTGTAATGAAAAAATATATACCATGTGGAAAGGAAATAAATATACATATGTGTATTTCTTAAACCTTCATCAGTGAGAAACCAAGCTACCTCAGTAAAGGAAACAAAAACTATGAAGGTAAAACCACCTGGCAACCAACACTGTGGATAAACACAGGGCTCTGAAGCCCAAAGATCTTCCCCCTGATTTGCTCAGAAAGCTTTCCTGCAATGCCAACAAAAGCCAAAATGAAATAAACCTCAGCCACCAGGTCCCTCTACTCCCACTGAAGCAAAGAGGAGCCCAAGGACTAAAGACTTCTTCATCTACCTGGCTCTCAGAAGTGCTGGGACAAGACCACAAAACTCCTGGCCCTTCCCAACACAACCTGGGGAGAGCAGCCAGCCTGTTCCTTACCCTCTCCAATTCCAGCAGAATCAGCCAGGGTGCTTTTATGAGGACCCTGCTCTAGGGGATTTTCCCGCATGAAGAGTCGATATCTCAGGGCAGATTCCAAGATTCTGATATGGTGCGGCCCACGTCTGAGTTCTCATGACATTCCCAAGGGATCCAAATGCTGGTTGATCAAAGAACACACATTTTGGTGAAGCATCATGATGGGACAGTACGGAGGGTTAGTTCCCTGGGAGGGTACAAAACATGAAGTGTACACATGGGCATTCTTGAGGGGAGATGGCCTAGTTTTCAACAGCTCTGAAGGGAGCTAATGACCACCACACCATACCCCGCCTCTGAAAGGACTCCCAATCCTGAAGGAAGCAGCCTAGCATTCACTGTTGCTGTCTGCTACCTGGGGCGCGGCAGGACTGGCGCCTGGAGAAAAGTGGCCTTCTGATGGGGCGTGGCCACATGCTGCTGGGCAACTGAGGTGCAGAGAGGAAACTGCAGCTTTCTCATTTCTGCCTGCTGTTCCTCAAGGCCCTGTTCCTCGTTGCTTCCTCTTCCCAGAGCTGGAGGCAAGACTCCAGCTGAATCTAGGACTGAATCTAGGTTCTTTCTCCCCTCCCAACAGTGGTAGTGCCTCCAAGAGAGCTCCTGGCCAAACTGGTCCAACACTCTGGGAATCAAAGCCATTGTCCCAGAGTCCACCTTTCAGGGTCCTCTTCAATTACACAGCTATGAGTACTGCAAGATGTCCTACTGAGAGGCGAGAAAGCTCCCCAGGCCAGGGCTGACCCTGGCCCTGTAGCATACAATTGAACCAGAGTTAAAAAGGCTGAGACAAACCTTTATCCTACTCTGCTACCACAACCACGTGCACAGCCAGCCTCAGTAAAAACGCCATTTGTGACTCTTCCCTTCCAGAGCTGCCCTTGATGTCCACTCAAACTCCATTCCAAGTAGGTGAGCGTGGACTGGACACTGCAGAAAGGCCAGCCCAGATGTCCCAGGAGGGATGGCCCTCTCCTGGACCTATTTCTAGGAGAAGGAAGGGAATCAGAATGGACTGTGGCCATTCTTGGCCTGAATATGATGTCCTCTTCAGTCTCACTGAAGGAGATGCCGGAGCTCAGGAATGTAGAGAGATGCCTGGGCATTTCCCAACTCTGAGCCAGCCTGTGGCTTCCAGGCCAACACTCTTTTCTGTATTTGCAAGACTTTTCAGCAGGGTGTTTGGCGGTGCCACCTGTCTGGCCTGTTTCTGCTTCCTGGCAGGTGTCCTTGTTTCCAGGACAGGCCTCAGAGGGAGTCTGCAGACGTCTGCTGTGTTCTCTCTGCTGAGGATGAAGGCTATTCAGAGTGAAGTCTAAAAAGCAGCCGGTAAAATGTAAGACAGGGAATGAATGCACAGGAAGGGCCAAGAACATCCATCCTTACTTGACACTCCCAGCATGTACTCCATGGAGGCATTCTAGAGGTAGACAGTGAGCCCCCCCCACATTTACATATTTGTACATAGGTGTGTATATGCATGTATATTGGGTAGAAAAGACTGATTGAAAAGCTGGAGCACCACAATGACCTGCCTCACCTCTTCCTCATCAGAGCATGTGCCAAGAGACTTTCCCTTGGGATGATAAGAATTTAAAGTATCATAAACAGGCCCAAAGGGAGAGGACTTTCAGATTCAGCTGGATTAAATCAGGGTTCTTTTGTCAAGTTGGACTTGTGGATATGCAAGAAATGTGTTTTATTGAGAAAGCTCCTTAAAATGTCTGAATTAATGAAATATGTGCTCAGTGATCAACAATCTGATAGGATCTTGGGGCCATTCTCCAAATAAACTCTGGCCAGATGGTTTCGGAAGCCAGATTTTTAAGCAAATCTCACACAGCCCTGGACTCAGGAGTGGAGCTGTCTGACATGGTGGCTTTTGTTCCCCTGTCATGGCTGCCTCAAAGTCTTGAATTGATTCAAATGTTTACCTTTGATGGTCATTTTGAATTTCGAGAGGAGCCAGAGTTCAACAGTGCCAGACCTGGTAAATAAGATACAGGAGGACACACTGTAATGTTTTTATGAGTCTGGCCTTTCTACTGGATAGCATAGCAGCACCATTCACTAAATTTTTTATCACACCTCATAAAGACACTCACGAAAGAGGACATCCAGACCTGCTTCAGAAAGTGGCAAGAACAATAGGATAAGTGTGTTTGAAGGGAGAGGAAATATTTTGAGGGGGATTAATGGCAGTGTGTCTTTTACTGTAATTATTGTTTTCTAATTAAGCCTTCATTGTGGTTCATTGATCACCCCTTGAAATATTCCCCACACTCACCACACACACCGCACTCACCAATATAGGTTGAATATCGCTTATCTGAAATATTTGGAGCCAGAAATGTTTCAGATTTCAGATTGGGGGGCATTTTGGAACATTTGCACATGCATAATGATATATCGGGGGGATGGGACACAATTTCTAAACATGAATTCAGTTGTGTTGCATATATACCTTATAAACATAGCCTCAGGTTCACTTTACATTTTTAATGATTTCATGCATGAAACAAAGTTTCACGGTGTAGAATGTCCGATTTGTGGCTTCATTTCAGCACTTGAAATTTTCACATTATGGAGCATTTAATATTTTGGATTTTCAAATTAGGACTGCTCAACTTCTCCTTCCTAAGAAGTACTGAGTTGTGGAGAACTGTTTTCCCCTATGCCAGAGAATTTTGGACTACTTCTGTTTGTGCTGTGGGCTGGGGAAGCAAGCAGTATAGCTTGTTATAACTATGCACACACTGAGAGTCAATGGGCCATGAGTCTGAGTGTGAAAGGTTTTACCAGCAAAGGACACCTGCTTTTACTACAGAGGCCCCGTGACACTGATTTGGGGATCAGTTGCCTTAGTGTGGGTTGCGGTGGTGATGAAGGTATTGTCATTGGCATGTCTCTTGGTTCTCACATGTCTTCTAAATAGATAAGACCACTAGAGACATAACTGTGAGTTGAGTAGAATTACTGTTTAATAAAAACTGGAGAATTAACTACCAAACTCTGTGGTGACAAAGGAGTTCAGAAAAGAAAGAGAACATGATGGAGCAGAATGCTAGTCATGATTCACATTTGGTAGGTGCCTTCTGTGTCCTAGGCACTACCCAACACTCCACTGAATCCTATACCCTACAAGACTGTTAGTGGAATCTCCCGGCTATGCCAAAATGTTATTGGGTAGCTCCTTCTAAAAATGGCTCGCCAATTAAACATTACCAAGCTCTGGGTTGCTCGCCTCTCCTCTGGAGTTAGCTTCCAGATTCTTCTTCTCTTGAACAAAGAATTGAATAAAATATGGAAAAAGCAGTGGCCAAGTTTATTTGAGAAAGTAAAAGTGAAGAGTGAAGGAGAAGCTGGCTCTGCAGAGCAAGCTTGGGCCCAGTAAAAGGAGAAAGAACAATAAAAGAACACCCTGGAGAAAGCAGGACAGACTACTGGGAGGAAAGTCATGATAGTGGGCTCCTTGTGGTGTCTGCATTCTTACATGTTGTCCAAATCTCCAGGAAACCTGTGAGGACTTCTACATATGAGTCCTAAGAGGTGGCTAGGGGATCCCAGGCCTCAGGCTGATGATAGTCCAGGACATCCTATTGCAAACTTGCTCGAGTTAATGAGAATCTGGGTGCAGGGCTTTGGGAACTGTTCTACGCGTGTGTTCTGGGATGTTGTAATAACTGGTCACGTTTACTTCCCCAGCCAGCTTTGCCATGCCCTAGGGTCCTATCTCAAGACCAAGACTATTGCTGTCCGCCACTTTTAGATGGGAAACCAAAGCACAGAGAAGTTAAATAAGTTGCCACAGCATGACTAGCAAATGCAAGACAGAGCTGGAATTCAAACTGCTTTGGAGAGCACAAGGCTGTCTCTACACATGTGAGAGCCACCAGGAAAAGGTGGTGAAACTGAGCTGCATAACAGTATACTCCAGCAAGGGACAGTCATGTAGGCAGAAGCAAGCATGGAGTGCACTTCCCAAGTAAAAACAAGGCATGTGTGGGATAATAGTTTTTTCTGATTTCAGTAACATGCATCATCTTCAGGCCTCTTGCCTAGTAGAACCACAAAAACTCACATCTTGCACTCCAGGAACCAGGGAAATTTTACTGAGGCTCCTATTACAACAAGTCAGTATGTCTTCCAACCTTCCTTTTATATGGCTACCTGGCTCTATGTGACAAACAAGTTAACACATA